TAAGTATGTTCCTGATCACACACGGAAGTGCCACGTGGCACTCAATCTCATGAAGACCATGAAGACATTGCAGATTCCAGTATCGACTTCAACCCCAGGTGAGTACCCGTTCTCCTTCAACCACAGATCCCGATCTTCCTCCTCCCTGTCTCTTATACACATCTAGATGTGTATAAGAGACAGTCGTGGCGCTTCGGCAAAGCTTGGCGTGCAGTTCATTTCCGCCTGGGGAAAAAGAGGCTCAGAGGCAAAATTGAGGGGAGGGGGGGGGGGGGGTCCAGCTGGTGCTTCGGCAAAGCTTGGCGTGCAGTTCATTTCCGCCTGGGGAAAAAGAGGCTCAGAGGTAGCGGTGGTTTCAAATATTATACGACAAACATCATGAAGCACACAAAAAACTGTGATAATCGTCGTGTCGTCATGCAATTCTGTCTTTGGATGCATGTGTCGTGTCATGATTGCTATACACAACTGCACACACACAAAAAAACATGATTGTGCCACACTCTTCCATCGTGTGTGTTTGTGTGTGTGTGGTAAGCTTCTTCCCACAATTGAGGGGGACTGCATTTATCTTGTGGCAGCCACACATGCATGCATAGTATACCTGTCGAAGCATGAAGTTCTCTCTCTGAAGCGTGGTCAGCTTCTCCTCCAATTGTGCATTTCGAGCCTCTAATTCCTTTGCCCGCACCTCCAGGTCTGTCAAATACGCCTTCTTCCTTTCTCGAGCTTGTTGAGCTGATACCCTATTCCTCAGTAGCCTGTACAAGGGGGGGAGAAAAGCAGCACAACATATGTGAAATTTGAAATGTTGGCATCAAAATTCGACTCAGATATAGGGTTAGCAACCATGGTAACCGCGGACCCAGACTGTCTTCCGGACTAGTGTCTGGACAGGTCAGGACCTGTCTCTTATACACATCTAGATGTGTATAAGAGACAGGCTTGATGCTGATCTTCCCCAACTACAGCCAGAGGATTGTAATTATATCAGAGAAGGAGGCTTTACCATTGCTGTCCTACAAGTAGCAATGAGGGACCGTCAACTTGAACTACGCAATGCTCGAGCAGGTGAGTGGCTTAATCCTCCATCCCACATCTCTGCCTGCATTGTGCACGGCCCTGGCCATTACATGGCCATTGTACATGCCTCTGACCACTGGGAGCTGTGGGAC